ATGGAATATGGTTAATTTTGATCTGAACCGCAAAATTTCCATATGACCCCTCTAATGAAAAAGAATGGATTTGAAAGAATTGTCACAAATTCAGTGGTACAAACAATGAAATATAAAGCTCGGCCACCAATTAATCTTTATCTGATATGGTTAATTGGGTTTGATATTAGTACGCTATGACAGCTTTGACATTTGCTCGAACATTGGCACACATTTGGGAGTTCTGTGATACCTGAAGTAGTGAACGGACGTGCCGATAACGCCCACCCACAAAAAAACTACGCGGATGCCATGTACTATCGCGGGCAACTTTTTGTGTTGTAATTGTTCATTGTGCAAAGTTATTCAATGTGTGAAAGTTTTACCAAAAAATTGAAATGAAGGCCTCCCTTTATTCACGCCGGTATTCAGGCCGGAGTGGTTGGGATAACCACGTAAAGGGGGTCATGTATGTGACCCGAAGGTCTCCCGAGGAGTAGGCGACTCTGAAAAAATAAAGTGTTTTTTAAAACAAAAAATGTACGAAATAATTTAGGTTGGCAGCTTCGCTTCGAGCAAGACCGTTGCGTCCCCGACAAAGCTTCTGTCAATTATTGACAGGAGGAGCCTGGCCAATTGAATAATAGAGAGAAAGATTAAGGCACACATTTCAATACATTTTGATAAATACTTTGGTAATTCATCACTTCACTTTGAAACACTTTTTTCTTATATCTAATATAAAAATCCATCAGACAGGTTATTACCAATGAGACTTTGTTTTCTAAACTTTTAATGTTGGGGTTGCATTTAGAAAGAAATGATCTGTTCCAGTATTTTTTTAATATTAAACGATAATGATTCTATGGAATTTATAATTGATCAGTTGCTTTTGAGAAGAACTGTACTGAAACAAACCGTAACTCGTATTTTTACTTCAATATATTATAGACTTTTATCAAGTATGGGTCAAGTATGAGGAATAGTGGAAATAATCGGTCCATCAATAACATAGTCATACATCGCCTTTAGTCAAATATAGCAATTTTTTGATCGCTGCCATAATTTAGTCACAAGTTTGTGCTCGAGTATTTGAAACAATGAATTTCAATAAATGAAGAAAGAGAGAATTCGAGGAAAAATGTCGAATATGGTGACCGTGAATGCCATTCAATGCTATTCTTCCTTCAATCCGGGCGGGGTAGCACATTTCTATGAAATTTCAAATAACGTTCATATACTGTTGATTTAGAACATTTCCACTGCATTTAATGGCCTCCACGGCCACCAGATTTGTCGCCTGGTGATTTATTTTAGTAGGGATACCTAAAAATTCAAATCTATAGAAGACAATCAGCGCCCTTACAAGGTTTGTTTAAAGTGTCGTAGAATGACTCCGGAATTTTTTTGGAAAGGGCGACAACGTTTCAAATAACTTTATTATTGTATGGACGCATCAAGGGCTTCACACGGATCTCCGGCCGTATACAAATTTTGGATTAACGGCTCTGTTTAGGAATGTTTGTTACTGAATGAATAAATATAGCAAACATAATATACAAATTGGTGAACTATAACATTGGTTATGTATGCATTATATAATATGAAAGTGACATCATATTTTACTTCCTTATTTGTACGTGGAATATTTGAAGGAGTGGATTGTAAACAACTCGCCTTTTTAATCTTATCAAATGAGCAGTTTATATTTATGTAAGAATAGTTCTTTAATGAAACGACAAACTGCGGTTCGGAATTATGTTTCACCTTCCAGTATTTGTTCATGTTGCTGATTCATACCGTCAAGAATTTCTAACAATGAAACATTACTCACTGGGTTGTCTCATCCTTCCCACACAACACTGGACTGCTGACCAGTCTGCAGAAATATTGACATGGAAAAATGAAGCAACTTTTTCAATATTCAATATTTAATTTGCGTAGAAGAATCTTTCACTTTTTACTCTTATATCGGTAGATGAGCTTTAACGTCATCGTCAAGAATTAGACAAAATGAAAAAAAATAGCTAGAAGAGTGGCCTACTCCTTAGTTTCGGTCTGAGCACCAAAGAGTTTCTTGATACTTCTCCATCTTAATCCAAAGGAAGGAAGAAAGCAAATAATTTCAGAATAAACTATACAAAAATTTGTAGATCATGCATATAAATTACTTTCAGATATAAACCAACACAAAAAGCCCTCTAGAAAGTTTTTTTATATAAATATTGAATCACACGAAAGAACGAGTACTTTAGAAACAAATACTTCTACATGAACATTGAATTATACAAAATAGATTCCTGCCTCGACCAGATATTTTTCTCGAGAGAATTTATCTGGTTGAAGCTGGGATGATTCTGCAACCGTGTTAGGAATCACACGTTAAAAGGTAAGACCTCGTTAGTCCTTAGCTCGAACAAGTTTCTCAACTTCTGAGAGTTGTCGTTCGTATGGGGGCGACAGCTGATTAACGGAAAAACAGATTTTAAGCCGCTAGGTATTTATGATATGAGTGTTGAAAGTAAGGTTTTATTTTGTTAGTGAAAAACAACATGAACAAAATGAAACTCACTTTTAACACAAATATCACACAAAGTTTTTTGTACAACTGTCCTGTTTTCACAATAAAATAGACACATTTAATATTTCTATAAAAACACATTTTGACATCTCTTGTCAGTTAACTATTTTCATCTTATCGCATTTGATGTGGAGTGGCCGTGTCAGGTGACGCCAAATCACCGGGTTACCAACAAACAGTATTGTTTACAGTTTACGAGTTTTATTGAAAGTCACATTTGAAGTCCTTGCTGGTGTTTAATGTCTTGCATAATGAAGAACAATAGTGAGGAATTGTGTGTTCCTGACGATATTGAAGAGGCTGCAATAAGAGCTTCAATTGAATTGTTACCAAAAAAATCGTCTCAGCAGTACGACATCGCATGTTCTAATTTTCTTAGCTGGTGTAGACTTAAAAACGAAGAAAATTTCAGCGAAACCGTCGTCTTAGCCTATCTAGAAGAGAAATCAAAAATATGGAACTCGTCAACTTTGTGGAGCAAGTTTTTAATGATAAAGTCGAGTGCGCATGTTAAAAATGGTGTTAATACAAGCAAATATTTCAAGCATTCTTAAAGCGAAAAAACCAAAAATTCTTACGTTTAAACAAGTCCAAAGGGTTATAAATGAGGCGCCAGATGAAAAATATTTGATGATAAAAGTTGCTACTATTTTCTGAATATATGGAGATTGCCGGCATAGAGAGCTGTGCCATTTCTTGATGGAAGACATTAAATCAATGGATAAATCATTGTTTGTTCAAATACCAAATACAAAAACGAAAATAGGTCGTTCTTTTTGCTTTGTTGGAAACAACATTGACTATTTTAATGAATACGTTGCAGTACGCCCTTCTGTTATCAATCATGAATGTTTTTTTTCTGAAATATTCAAATTATTAATGCACTGCCATCTCAGTTGGTATAAACACGTTTGGGAAAACGCCTTCTACCATTGCTCAGTTTCTGAACCTCCCGGAACCAAAGGAATATACAGGTAACTGTTTCAGAAAGTCTTCTGCTTCTTTGTTAGCAGAATCAGGAGCAAATATAAGGGATATTAAGAAGCACGGAGGATGAAAGTCTACAACAGCAGCTGAGGGTTACATCTTATGAAAAGATTATTGCTGAAAGAATAACCCAACAGCTAGCTCCAGCGTTACAACATCGACCTCTTCACTCCAAGAATTAAATGTTAATACCCATGAAATTGTCGACTCAGCTAGTTCAAATATATTACAAGGCTCTTCAACATCGCAAGGTATTAATATCAGCAGTTGTTTCAATTGTACTTTTCATATTAATGTTCATAAATAATAATAATAATGAAGTTAATGTCTGTAATATATTTGCAACAGAATTAATACTTTTGACAACCATTAAAAATGTCACTTTCAATGATAATTAGCACTAAAATTGAGAAGTACGCATACTGCCAAAATTTTAATATTTCAGTAACAAGTAGAGCGAGACTTGTTCATTTTACTATAAAAAACTTCCCATATTCTCACCTTATTATGATCGTAGGGGGATCATGAGGATAGAAAGGGTAAATAAATCTTGTGTACACTGAATCCTATGATTCTTTTTAAAAATTGGCTCTTGAAAAACTTTTGAATAGTTAATTTTGAAATAAATTAAATTTCACAACTTTTGGAAGACTAATTAATAATAATAATAATCGGCTTTATTCATCGAATAATTAAAAATTAAATAAAATGGAACATTCGATGANTGGAAGATTCTGCCAGAAGTCCATAACTCTTCTTGCCATCCAGGTGTTGAGTGTTTGTTTGGCAAAGCCCAAAGCGATGCCAATGACAGGTTCTGGTCCAATGAAGCCGCTTGCAGCACCCTCCTTTGCAAGAGAGTCAGCAGCCTCTTTGCCTTCCAGGCCAGTATGGCCAGGAATCCAGACCAGAGACAATCTGTTTAGTCTTCCTGTCGAGGAGAGTCTTTTTTGGCACTTTGCTACCAATTTAGACGTTGCTCGGTGGGAGCCAAGAGCTTCCAACGCCGCTTGACTGTCCGATAATTTTTTTATTAACTTGTGAGTGAGGTTGGATCTATCCAATCTCTCCGCACACAATTCAATAGCGTAGATTTCCGCTTGAGGCCTCATCGCTGAAGATGATTTTTCCTTGCCAACTATTCCAGAGCCCATTCAGCGAACACACATCGTTGTCTATGGTTGTTCACCTTCAGCTCAGTTCTTGTAAGCGACGCAAAATCGACTGCTTCAGATTATCCTGCACTCTCTCACAGACAGCGGCGATGTTTTCGGCAGATCTTGCGTTTCGTCGACCTCCGGGTGTTTATTGAACCAGCGGACTCAAATTTATCCATCACATTACGAATAGTTCTCTCGGTAGGACTATTATGGCGACCATACAATGGGCAAATTGCATCTTATGTTGCCCGAACAGAACACCCATTTTGATGAAACAATTTTGCACGTGGTGTGTAATGCTATATCCGTCCATGTTGCCATTTGGCAAAACAGACTGAATAAACTACAACTAATTTGACAGATGTAGCTCCAACAAGATGGCCGGTCGGAAGACTATTTAGTTATCGTACTTATTTCGCTAGTTCATTGTCGCTTGTCCGAACTTATCTGAATTAAACTAATATCGAAAATAATCCAATCAACGTGACACACACTGTACAGTACATACATACATACAACCACATAATGTAATGAAAGTAAAATGATCTCTCTGGAACGTTAAATTTCTTGACTGATTCATCAATTACCAAATCGAATTTTGGTGCCTCAAATAGTAATATCAAACAGATAAAATTATCGACAATACCTAAATACCAAGATATTAGATACAAACTGATAATAAACGTACCATATGTGAGTAATTGATTATTAACATGTATACAGTGAAATAGTAAACTCTTCAATAATAGTCGAAATTACCTGTCACTAAAAAAGAAAAAAATATGTTTTTTTTAATTGTACGTAGATGGACTTTACCCTTTGAGAGGGAAAAGTCGATTTTTCTATGGTTTAAAACAGGTGATCGACTTTACCCAAAATGCGGGGTTAAGTCGATCACACTTTGAATGAAAATAAAAATTGAATGGGAAAAATTACAAAAATAATAATGGGTTCATCAAATGGTTTAATGTTTGAGGTATCTTTATTTTCGATCTCATTTAAAAAAAATTCAATCGTTTAGGCGCTAGGATGAAAAAACCTTTATTTTTGATCGACTTTACCCCGTTTGACGGTATCTTTAAAGGGTCTCTTATTGAGAGATCTATATGTTTTGCAATACCATCTATTCTGTTATTAATGATTTCTACATAATGATTCTTGTTCTTTTATCATTTGTACTAATTATTATAAGAACCTGAAGTCCGCTACTGCCATAGACATAAACAGTAGTCAGTCTCAGCAACAACTGACTCTAATTGTAGTTGCTATTATTCTGTGACTTTTTGAATTTTGTCTATTTTGTTTTCGAAAGCTGAAATTACTTGTCAAATTTTTAGTTCGTATCTTTGTACGTTTGTTAAACATTGTTCTTCTTATTTTTCTACTAGTACATTATGAGAAACACTTATAAAAAAGTACGAAAACTACAAATTCTACATTATTTCTTGCATTAATAAAAGCAAATTTTTGTTTCAGCCGAACGCAAAACGTCCCTTGGTAAAGACTGGCATTCAGCTTGTTTACGGTGCGAAAAATGCAACAAGACTCTCACCCCAGGCTCCCACGCTGAACACGATGGAAAACCATATTGCCACAATCCTTGCTACTCTGCCCTTTTTGGTCCTGGTGGCTTTGGTCGTGGTGGAGCAGAAAGTTATGTTTACAAAAAATGATTTATATCTACGACATATATTCAAGTAATATCAATTTCTGATCAAATGGATGTTTATGTATAAATTAAGAATGAAAATATATGAATCAGAATGAATTAAAAGGGTTCTATTATTTTTCATGTACGTACGATTCTTCTTTAATGAAAACTGGCTATATTATGCAATATCAATCATGACCAAGATGTTATTTTTCCATCTAAGAATTGTTATTGTTACGCTTTTCTTGAAAAAGGCACACTCATCAAATTATTGAACCGAAAACACAAAAACAAAATTTATGCTTCAAATCACTTTTTTACGTTTAAGCTTATTTGCATATATTCATAATGAGTTTTTATTCTATTTATTTTTCTTTCGTTCTTTGGAATGTTCGATGATGGAGAAGTGGAAAGTCGCAAAACTATTTCCCAAACAATATTCCTCCACGTTTAAACTATGGTTCTGATAACTCATATGCGTTGGTATGCTATTTTCCATAGTGGTGGAAGTCGTACTGCCGAAGTTTTCCAGTTGATAAACCACGACATGTTCTTCAGACCCACCGAAGTTCTAATCCACTGAAAAAAACTGTGACAGTAAAATAAAATCCCAGGAGTGGGTATGGAAGTTTTTCCGAAATTGAAAATATCGTTTTTGTCGGAAAATATTCAGCATCAGTGCCGGATATGCAATTCTTTTGATAGTCCAACGATTTCCCGTCTCACCACGATAAGACGGTAGCAGACCGACAACGCCCGAACCCAGGCAACCGAAGTCGGGGACATCTATAGAGCAAATTGCGAGCGTATCTAACTCTGCTCTCTGCCGACAGAGCCATCACGCAATGCAAGTCTGCCAACCAGAGGGACGAAGGGCCAATTAAGATTCAAGAAGCAAGAAATGTAAAAGGTAACATTTATTACTTAGGGTCTGTCCGCCACCATCCCGAGCCTAAGTTCGCGATGGCTACTCGAGAGTGTTGTCGTCTAACGGTTCAATCTCATTTTGAATACGTGTTTATACCTTACTTTTCAGTGTCTTCTTGGACCTGTTCATCTTTACCACACTTTTTTCTTCAGGACATTTGTTAGGAATACCATTGTGTCCCACTCAACTTTTCTACTACTTCACCTTTGGGACTTTCGTCAGAATTACCCTTGGTTCTATTCAACTGTCCTACTACTCTGTCTTCGGGACCTTCGTCGAGGTTTGCAATCGGGGCTTCGTAGGGGATTCCCACTTAGCCTTGATCTACCTCTCTGTCTCATACAGCCTGTGTATTACCATCAAAGTCGGTGGCTCGTATATAATTTCATTCTAAACTGATTGACTCAGTTTGGCGAAGGAAATACATTATTTCGAAGTAGATTGCGTAGAGATTTCATCCCTTTTCCTGGTTTGCTGTATTGGTAATGCTTGCTTTAGCGTTCTTACGGCCTTAAGCACTATTTAATTTAACCCCTTCCCGTTTGTCGTTTCAACTTTATTGCACTCCCCTTCCGTCCCTGTAAATAGTTATTTGAGAATTAATGGTAAGGAATTGATTTAAATAAAGCTTTGAAACGGATTACTTCGTTTCTTTCTTTTAGATTATGAACATCTTTGCAGCTGGTAAACAGGTTAGATTCCTAGCAAAGTCAAGTTGAATCCGACTTTCTAGCTACCAAATTCGTCTAAATCACACATATCTGGATTAGCGTGTTTCCACTGAAACTGTCCGGTGTAGTGATGCCTGTGTCACGGTGAATTCACCAGGGTGGCGCCCGAGATCTCGTCCGGACCGTCAAAGGGCTTCAAATATCGAGTTGACGTAAATAAGAGCGTTACGTTGCATTATTATTCTTGTGAACACAGATTCTTAAGATGCTCAATAACGTTAATAGACAAAACATACATTCCATATTTTAAGCCCGTTTACAAAACAACCAAAATATAGAAAATATACATAACAAATTGGAAAAGATAAAAATTTTTCCTTGAAATGAACCCTTTACTATACTCCGGTTTCTTTTCAACGCGTATAACTTGAGGCCCAATTATCGACAATGATATACTAGCAGTTTTCTATTCCCACGAAAATGTTCCCAAGTAAGATACTGAGGGTTGAAATTCTCAGTAGAGAAGTAATTGAAGAGTACATACAATTGTTTCCAGTTCAATAACTGTTTCTACAGACAACACGAAAGCACGGCAATGGGAAGCCCACGGGTTCCCTATGTAAATAATGTGTTCATGAGCATTGGAATTGTAAGAAAAAAAGAAGTTAAATCACTTTTCTTGAATTTGCATTCGATTTGCAATTTTTGACTTACAAAAACTCGAAGGTAGAGGATTTTGTTTCAACTCTCATCAATACCTATAGATCCCCGAACATTAAGGTTACATGTGAAATTGAGAACAACGAGGGGCTACCATTCTTGAATGTCTTATTGATTAGAAGCAACCAGAATCTACAATTTGATGTTTATAAAAAGAATACCGGTACTGTTAAATATATTACTGATAGCCCATAGCATTGTCCATAACAGAAAATGACTACTGAACTTGTTCATAGGCTTATTATGTTTCCCTTGTTGTAGAAAGATCGAATTCTCAAAAAGTTCACTTTAAAAGTAGCCTTCAAAACTTCTTGCTCACTCCAACAAGTGTTAGAGAATGTTGGAGAATGAAAAGCCTGGGATATATGGAATAAGCTGTGAGGACTGTTACAAAAAATTGTACAGACTTAGTGAACTATTAAAACTCGTTTTAAAGAACACGTAGGAAACAAATATCCGATTTAAAAAAACCAGAAAAATCTAGTGTTGCTCGACGCGCTTTGGAGAATGACCCTAATCGTTCTGTTGAAATTAACGGGAACTTTCAAGAGAACATAATGTTAACATAAATAGAGACTAGTTAGAAATGAGTGTACTTCATTTTCTGAAGACGCTAACTTGATGAGACATGAGCATATACTTCATGGGAAAAACGATTTGGTATTTTCCACAGAGGTATGGGAACGTCTACCTTTGAAATCCAAGCAAGAAATATAAACTTGCCTATATCCATATGATTTGAAATTTTCCTAAAGGTTTTACCATAGAACTCATATTATTATACTTGTCAGTGGCACAGAATTTACTATTTGTCCTTAGTTTTGTGAAACTTTCATTGTGTATTTAAAATAATTTCAATGTTTCATAGTAGTCAAATTATAGCTTTTACCAATTTGTAGATGTCAATACGCGAAGACGCTAACATGGTTGATGAAAAGCGGGATAAGGAGAGTGTTGCAGTTTTGGTGTTTGACATTAGTGCATGTTTTGGATTCATTAGAATCGTATTTTGTTTTTCTCGCGCAGACAAGCCGCAATCATTTTGGGGCGAATTTCTCATTGGAGTGTCTCGCGACAGTTGCAACTTGGCTCCTGTGTTGTGAGGGAGGAAACTCTCGTCAGCTGTTTCCTTATTATCTGGGAATGAAAGGTTTTGGCTTTCTACTTCTTCATCTTTATACAAAACATGTATGAAACTTCTAAAGAAAGAAAGAAAGCAATTATTTCAAAATAAACTTCCATTTTCTGTTTTCAATTTTTTTTTTCGATTATTTTAACGGTTGAACAAAGGCCTAGAAGGGACACATTGAATTTTTTTTTGTTATTTCTGACTTCAAAGCTTGGGTTAACACTTTTTTTAGGATTCAACTTCGAAATTCCTGACTTAAAGCTCAGAATGATGTGCATTGTGAAAAAATTTAGGTGAAGTTAGGATGTTAGGTTGAGTTATAATTAAAAAAAGTCTACCATGGGAGCCCAGATGCAGCTATCACGAGATACTCGTTTTCTCATTGGTTGAAGTATACAAATGTTAGAGAACGATACGTTTTGGCCACACAAAAATAAAATGGCCAGAACTCTCCATAGTCCAATGCGCATTCAAATTTTGTGATGAATCATGTGTTGGGTATAAGTGGTTCTCTAAAGTTGAGCATAGAAATATAGTGCGTTACAAAAACAGCAACATAGACGTAACACCATAATGTTCATTCATTGCATGGAATTTTGTTTATAAGCAATACTATTGTCGTTAATCAGGTAGGTATATCTGTTTATTTTATCACGGTTCTTATTTACGTTGCTGGGTTTAAACAGTGACTCTATTAGTAATTTTTGTTCTGTTGGCATTGTTAACAAGAACTATGTTATAAGAGACAACGTTCTAAGTGAATATAATTTTATTTTCATTTGAATTATCGCACATTTTATGTTTCCAAAAAGAAACAAATATGTTCCGCTGCTGTGAGGAGAACCTAAACAAATATGGCTACCGCTTTTATTCATTTATTCATTTATCCTGAATATGTACAGACAGAGTCCAATTACATATACACAGTACCTAAACTACACTAAACCTAACACATATATAGATAAAAAGATACAATTGACAATAAAATTATTATAAATATAAAATCCTTATAATGAAATATAAAATCATTGCCAATAGGTGTTAAAAAATATAGGAAATAGAAACGGGCTAGTGTGTAAATTCATAATATATATGTCATATCTGTAAAAATAAAAGAAACATGTAAAATTAATTCATTCTTATTGAATAGAGAATAACAGAGATCTGAGATTGGTTGGGGTAATGTTTAAAATATCGATATCAGTGTTTTCAACTAATTTGTTTGTAGCTATCAAAGAGCAATCAACTGGAGAATTTACGTTGAAGTTATGAAATATGCAATCTCTTCGCCTCAGGCGGATATCTGGTATACTGAAATTGATGGAAGCGAGTACATCGGGAAGAAAAATGTTGTTTCGTAATAAATTGAATATGAATAATATTTGAAAATTTTCTCGACGTTTTTTAAGGGTGCTTAAATTAAAATCTTCCATTTGTTTTACATAGGATATCATAAAAGGGTATATTCCATATTTTTTTAGATACATTGACCTGAGATATCGTTTTTGTACCTTTTCCAGCATATCAGAATGCGTCAGCCTTTGGAGTGACCATATTACACACGCATATTCGAGTTTTGAACGAATGTAAGAATTAAAAAGTACTTTATAAGTCTTAAAGGTAAATTCATGACAAGTCCTGAGGATGAATCCAAGCCGTCTGAAATATTCCGCTTGCAGTCTTTCAATATGTTCATTGAAGTTTGAAGTAAACACTACACCTAGATCCTTGATTTCATTGACTCTCTCGATAGGAATATTATCAATGTTATAGAGTGTCTTAAAAGGGTTTCTTTTCCTGGTAAAAGTTATTATTCTACATTTGGATACATTCAAAGCCAGGTCATTATCCTTACAGAAAGCAGATATGGAGATAATGTCATTTTGTATGAAATCAGTATCTTCAAATGATTTGATGGATATGTAAATTTTCAAGTCATCAGCGTATAACACAAATTTTGTATACCTAATATAATTAGATATATCGTTGACAAACATATCAAAGAGCAAAGGACCTAGTATTGAGCCCTGTGGTACACCCGAAGATGTTACGAAGGTATTTGATTTTCTATCGTTGAATTTCACAAAATTCTCGCGATTCGAAAGATACGACTTGAGTAAAGATGATAAGTTTTCTGAAAAAGAATATGCATGCAATTTCTTTATCAAGATATTGTGGTTGACCTTATCAAAGGCTTTTGCATCCATTCGCGCAAGTAGAAGCCTGTCTAGTCATAGAGCATATAATTTTATATTTTATTTCAATGATTTTAGAGTTCTGACCGCAGAGAAATGATAATTCACTGTTCTGGGTCATAGATTAGGTACTATCACAGAATTTCTTAGAGAAGAGGCACTCAGCAAGAAACAGAAACCAGAACATTTTGAGAATGTCATCAAGCTGTTAGTGAACGTAAATAAGGTGAAATGAAGGCATTTTGAAATGTTGGTTCGACAACCTGCCGAGATGAGATCGTGATGATTTTTCAACAGCAATAAATTTATATGTCAGATATAGATAGTTTTGAACAATTTGAATTAACCGTTAAAAATGACATTGAAAACTTTGACATATTTGTGTTTTATTGGCATCCAGTTTGACTTTTTTCCGTCAAAAGTCATCAGCTATCTCTGCTTGTTGTATTGTAATCGAGCAGAGAGTGCAAATAACTTCAGGCGAGAACGACAGATTTGCATAGACATGGCAATATGGACTGACCGTTACATCACTTCCACATACTGAGGATCATACGAAGTTTTGGAAATGATCAGTAATATGGGTTACATACTTGCATACGTCATAGGTACCGAATTTTTTTATGGAATCGGCCGATACTTGATAAAAATGCATAACGTATTCAAAAAACACTCAACACTTTCTAGTGAAAATGTCGCAATGAAGCGTTTTTTTGTTTTAACGGTTTATTCAATACAGCTATAACAGAGAATTGAAATTTTCATAATGAAAGTATGCAACACGTAAAACATCATGACGTCGAATCTGATATTCAAATGTATGAGTGAGGTAATGCCTTTTTCAGTTGTTGGAGTCAGTGTTCTATATCCAACGGTCAGTCTATTTATGACGTCTTCTCAGATTTGTAATAAGATTAATGCAGACAAAACACACATAATAGAGGTCACAGAATCTTGACTCCTCAACATCAATGTGATACCACATGAATTATTCTATGGTACTGTATGAGGCACATAACAGATAGAGGTTCGATATTTTCACTCACTATTCAATTCTTTGAATCTCACTTGCACCTTCGAAACCGGCATCGCTGTTAATAAATTACATCTGCACTGGTGAAGGTCACTGAAATCAAATCGGCTTACATGATCAGTGTGTTTGTTCTGATTGTTACATCTTCTGTCACTGTGTTCTCAGTGTTCTTCAAACATTCTGCAGATGGCGCTCAATGGCCAAATGTGAATAATTCCACACAACTGTCAAACTATTCAACTTGACTTTCAATTTGATTTCAGTCGCATTGCGGTGTTCTAAAAATTTGTGATACTCCAATATTTACATGTAATTTCCGTGAATGTAAGTAACACTTAGTGGAGTGTTCTCGTGTCGTTCAATTTACGATGCCAAATAAAGGCGTAGAAGACCACAATTACCCAAATCACCCTCCTCACTATCTGCATGAGTTGCCTCAAGAAGATGAGGAACGTCTGGGAAAGCTATTCGCTCGTCTTGATAAGAATGAAAACGGTAGAATTGATATTCATGATTTGTCTAGAGCTCTCAGAGAACATGGGGTTCACCATGGGTATGCTGAGGTGAGTTTTCATTTCATTCTATTTCTAACAATTTTCAAACCAGGCCAAGTTCATGGCCATCTATCACTTTCCCTGACATAAAATTTCGCACCTGGACCTTCAAATTTTGAAAAAAAATCAAAACATCAATATCCACTATCATCATTTCTGGTTTCAATTCGAATTGGTGTTATCAAACCAATTTATGAAAATGATAAAATTTTAAATTACAGACCTATTAAGTACTTTGGTGTTTACTTCCACAAAAATTTTTGAAAAAAATTTGAATTTACTTGAATGAGATTTAGAAATTGAGTATATCTACACCAAAACTCCAACACTCTGTCATGGTTGAATCAATCAAGTTGGGGGCATGAGGAGTTGATTTTAACAGTTTAGATCAACTTCTGATGACTCCAGCATGTTTGCTGTCTGTTGAGTAGGAGAAATGTATTCATCTACCATTCAGAAATCAGTTTGGATTTATTAAATACAAATCAACTGAAGGTGCTACTTGATTAATTTTATCAATAAACCCTCCGATTTGAACACGTCAACACCTATTTACTTAGTTTTACAGAAAGTTCTCTAGTTAGTCAGTGAAAAAAATAGGAACTCTTCACTGACTTTTGTGGGATACTCCCATTCAAATTAATCAAGATGCAAGATAACAATATGTGCAATTATATTCAGTAATATAACGCAAAGGCACTGAATTCCAACCATTTATGAGTCCTTCACTAAAGATGTTGAAATAATGAGTATTTTTTCAGTAAAACCATATGTAACTGAAGTCATAGGCTTTTCAAACTCAGGCGGAACATCTATTTACGTAAAATATACACAAAATTTAAAAAATTCAAAAATTTTAAAGATTTCATTGGGACTGAAGATATTTAAAAACGAATCAGTATAATTTAAGGCTGGAAACCTGCAGCCAAATTTAAATTGACATTGAATTATCATTAATATTGCATTAAGAATTCCGATCCCATTGCATGCAACATAATTGAGAAATATCTGTGCATGCGTATCCACTTTGACATATGATATTAACGCACAATTTTTGACAATAATTCAAATCTCAGAGTACTGGAATATTGTTTTTTGGAATATTGAAAATTTTTGGTGGATACAACAAATTTAATATCATTCAAATATTGACAAATATGTCTGATAGACGACATAGAACAACTGAACACAAGATTATTTTGAAATGTGCATAGATGAATGAGCAAAACATTGAGAAGTTGAAAGTTGACCTACTCTCAATATAATGTTAAATTCATTCATGGTGCATGAAATGAAATGTGTGAAAGCAAAATCTTGACTTTTTAATGATAATGTTAATGCTAATGGTAATTTAGGCTGCATGTTTCCACTCTAACAGAATTTAGGATTAAATCATACTGATTGAAATGAGTACTTAAAAACTAATCAATATTGAGTATTTCATTATTTAAAAACTAAATAACATGACTGAATGCACTTGAAAATGCAATATTATATCTCAAATATATATGGATTAATTACTAAATTATCTCAAAATTATTAGGAATGATTTGATGAAAGATATAAAAGTGAGAAATGAAGTACTTACAGGTCTGATAATAGTATGTATGATGTTGTTTCAAAAGTTTTGTCCGTTTTTTTGAATCTACTTAAAACTGTAATATAGAATAGAATAGTGTTTATTTGCAGCTACAAGTAGCAGATAAGCACAAGGATGTTCCATTGAAGTTGACACTTGTTAGTGGTTCATATAAAAATGTATTATCTATACAGACACACTCACACTTGTTCACAAACATAGATATACATATACACTAAAACATGGAATCTCACAATGTATTAAGTATCAATTAAGACATTTTTATTTTTTTACCAAAACTTTTTATATGTCACAAAAAGGATTTGAAGCTTCATAACTCCTATTTATTAAATGCAAGCACTTTTGACAGCTAGTCATGCTATCATCTTCAAGGCTGTACTCGAACTGAACGTGTCATCCTCTTGTTTGTCCTTTTATGCGGTCAGAACGTCTTAGTGCAGGTACCGCAGGTACTTTAGGTAAATTTGCCTGTGTTTGGGTTACATCTGGTAATATTCTTTGTGTTGGATCTTCTCTAGGTTTACTGTTTCTAGGAGTGTGTTTTGTTTTGTGTAGTATATTGAATGTTAGGTCTTGTGTTTTGATTTATATTTGTTCCTCGATAAGTGAATTATGACTGTTAAATTTATGGATCTTTAAGTTTTCCCGGATGTCCATACGGTTTCCTATATTGACTTACTTTATGAGTTTTATGTTCTCTGGTGGGGGAAGTTATGTTTGTTTTGTATGGCGTGTGTTGCGAGGTTTGATTTATAAATTATTGGGTTTATGTATGCCTTTTTGTGCTCGTCGTACCTTTGGATCAGTTTTTTCTTGGTTTGGCCGATATAGAATTTGTTGTATTCCGAGTATTATATGCTGTACACCCCATTTAGATTTTTGTCTTCTTCTTTTTCATAGCTGTTTATTTTATGTTTTTGGCTTGTATATGATGTTGATGTTCAAGGGTTTGAAGATTTTTGTTGGTTTTTTGGTTTGGTGACCTACGTACGTAAATGCTGTCCATCGTTGTGTTGTTTTATATGTTAGAGTAGCTTGATCCTTGTTCTGTATTTTTTGTTTGTAGATAAATTAGAAAAAAGAATCAAACAAAAAATACAGAACACGGATCAAGCTACTGCAACATATAAAACAACACAAAGATGAACAGTATTTACGTACGTAGGTCACCAAACCAAAAAACTAACAAACATCTTCAAACCCTTGAACATCAACATCACATACAAGCCAAACACGAAAATAATACAAAAAATAAACAGCTATGAAAAAGAAGAACACAAAAACCTAAACGGGGTGTACAGCATACAATGCTCAGACTGCAACAAATTCTATATCGACCAAACCAAGAAAAAAACTGATCCAAAGGTACGACGAGAACAAAAAGGCATACATAAACCCAATTACATAAACCCAATAATAATATATAAATCAAATCTCGCAACACACGCCTTACAAAACAAACATTACTTCCCCACACCAGAGAACATAAAACTCATAAAGCAAGTCAATAAAGGAAACCGTATGGACATCTGGAAAACTTAAACATCCATAAATTTAACAGTCATAATTCACTTATTTGTTTACTTTTTTCAAATTGATTCCAATTCACATTATGGAATTAGCTTCTGGGGAAATTTTGCCCAATTTCTTTTCAACACAATATTCTCCTTTCAAAACAGGCCCATCAGATATTTATGCAAGGCTAGTTACAGGGATTCATACTGTCCTTTATTTGTGACCTTGGCAAGTCTTTTAATCACACCTTATAATCCCAAGGCTGGAGAGAAATGCTCACCTCAATCTATAGCGATGGCTGGGGATGAACAGAAATGTCCACACCAATCTACCACTTGGAATGAGGCTGGACAGAGCAGATCACCTCGTGATATAATACAAAGACCCAGGCGTAAGCGCATTTGCGGCGCCGAGGCCAAAAGGAGAAAGAGAGCGATAGAGGCAGGAGTGGCAGCAACTATAAGTGCACCCTCATCCTACCCCACTCCACCTCCAACAGTAAGGGCATTTTCTGCGGCGGGCGCCACGATCTCCGCCTTGAATAAAAGCAAAGAACCGGCTGCCCCTGCAGGAAAGCGCCCTTACTTGAGCACTTCCACGGAGGAAATCCCAAGAAGGTTGAAGAAGCCGACAGTAATGTCGCTGCACCTTCCAAAACCTTCATGGAGGCCACCCTGAGACACCTCAAGGTGTGTTCGACGACCTCTCGAAAGCCTTCGATACAGTTAGTCACCAAAAGTTACCTAATAAATTGATTAGAGGAAACGCCTATGATATATTGAACGTAACAGAACGAACGCAACAGGTGCGAATTGATGAGGTAGCAGTCCTAGAAAAATAACTTACGGTGTTCCGCTAGGGTCTGTTCTGGGACCAGTACTCTTTATTCTATACATAAATAGTCTTTTTAACACAGATATTTTGTGGGAAATCATTAGATTTGCAGATGATACTGTTGTTACTTACGAAGCAAACACTTGGAATGAACTTCAAGAAAATATTGAGAATATTTTTTTTAACATTATTCATTCTTCAAATGTGTATTGATTGTGTTGAGGTATTTTTCATGAGGTTTTTCAATTTCTTTTTGGATGAGTAAATATCTCAGTGAATACGATTTGATCTAATTAAGCGCCATTCGAATCAGTTTACTTTTTCCAACGTAACACAAGTCTAATAATTTTGTCAGCACGAAAATTGAGTGGTCGAGATTCGATGAAGTCGAAGAACGTCGTTTTGCCAGGTCCTGATTGGCGATGGTTTTACCGGTTGGAAAGTGATCGAAGTGCTTGAAAAGATGGTAGTCGATTGGCGAGAGGTCTGGGGAGTATGGTGAGTGAGGCAAAACTTTGAAGCTCAATTTGTTCAATTTTCGTACGGTGAGTTGTGAAACGTGCGGACTAGCGTTGTAGTGGAGCAGGATCGGACTTCTTCTGTTGACCAGTGCCGGCTGCTGCTGATGCAGTTTTTGGTACATTTCACCTTAGTTTTAATTTCAACAATACGTTTTGCCAGTTGAATGAAAAAGTCTCCAGTTGGTTCTAAGCGAAAATATTTCAAACCATCTTTATTTTCTGTTTGCCTTTATTCGCACAATTCCTCAGATCATGATACTTATTCTTTTAATAGGTGAAATTATTCAATTTGAATTGAAAATGTTATACTCTGAATTTCCATCAATATTACATTTTCCATTTGACTTTCAGAACAATCTTCACAACGCTATTACAAAAACTTCATCCTACCTCACTCCACCTCCAAAAGCAAGGGCACTTTCTGCGGCGGTCGCCACGATATCCGCCTTGAATAAAAGCAAGGAACCGGCTGCCCCTGCAGGAAAGCGCCCTTACTTGAGCACCTCCACGGAGGAAATCCCAAGAAGGTTGAAGAAGCC